ATCATATTTTTCATCAAATAAATGCAGCTTTGTTGAGCATAAGTGACTTTTTTTTTTTTTTTTCTTTAAAAAACCTTACTGACCCCAAGCTTTTAAATTGTGGTAAATGCATACATTACAGACATTTAGGTGAGTATACTCTTATAGCATTGTGTGCCCTGCACATTATGTAACAATAATAAGTCAACTTTAAAAGTCCAGTGTCATAGATATATTATCAGTTTGATACCAATAAAATGGCCTCAAAGTTCAAAGTGCTTGCGTTTATTTCTGTTCATCATTCAGTCACTGTAGTGATTATATAATTACATTACATTCATTTAAATATACTGTAGACATTCGGTTTGGTTTGGGGTCCTCAGATATATAAGTTTTCCTCAAACAGTCAAAGATTTTAAGAAACTGTGTTAAGAGCCTTCAACGTCCTTCCATACAGTGATGCACTTTATTATTAAAGCTTCTCTGTTTCATACGCTTGGTTGATCATACCCTCATCCATACTCTCTTTAATTACACCAAGAAAGCCTTCATCCTTTGGATTGTTGTCAAAATGTCCTGTTTCTCCGCTCTTAGGCACTTTGGTTTTGGGATACCTGTAGCACATTAAGAGTAGTCCACTTACAATGAGCAGGCAACCTGAACCGATCCCAATCCCAATCCCTGGACCCACTTCCTGTTTCACTGGAGCAGAAGGCAAGTAGAAGTCAGGCGGGAAGTCTATAGTGAGATTCGCCAGTACAGAATTCATATTCCAAAAGACGGGGACCAACGAACACGCTGCAGTTAGCCAGAACAAGGAACCCGCCATCACAAAGGTCAATCTGACATGCCTGTTGTTAACCCCAAAGATGGCATTTCTCACCACATGTCCCGCCACTAGGATTGCGAGCACCCCCACGCCAACAGCAACCATGCAAAGTACCTGGGCGGCTGCTATTTCTGGTGGAGTGAATGAATCTGTAAGGCTGATGCTTTTGCAGATCTCAGCCGAATCCAAAATGTGGCTGTTGAAACAGACCCGCCACACTCCCACCCAGGCCAGTCCTCCGGTGATGACCGTCTGATTGTCCACGTACCATATCCTCCAGTCGTTCACCCCAGAAATGGAGGCTGTCATTATCCATCCTACGAACCCAAGCACCAGACCCACAAACTGCCAATGGACTGACTGGGGAAGGTAAGCCATTGCTAAAACTGCTGAGTCCCAACACCAGGTGGTGATGAATATTTTCTCCTCAGGTCTGCACACTGTCCTTCAGGAGCATGGCTACATCGCAGTCATACCACTTCTGTTAGATTAGAGAAAATAAAAAGGCTTTTTTAACCCAACACTAGGGGCAATATGAGGGGACCCCATTCCTAAAATACAACAGCAACTATAGTATCATTAAAAAGTTTGGGATCACTCACTGTATTAGTTTGATGAAAAAGTGACAATACTTTTACACCGTTAAAAAATATAATATTTAAAATGCTGTTCTTTTGAACTTACTATTCATATATGATAGACTATATGACCCCCCCCCCCCAAAAATAGCACCAAATCAGCATATTAGAATTATTTCTGAAGAATTATGTGACACTGATGATTGGAGTAGTGACCGCTGGAAATTAAGCTTTATTACTGTTTTACTGTATTTTTGATCAAATTCGTAGCCTTGGTGAGATAAAAGAATCATTAAATCATAAAATGTTTAAATTAAAGGTCATTAAAGATTACCAACCAAACCTTTAAATGGTAGAGCATATTTTCATGTAAAAGTGCATTTATACTGTGTCGGAAATATAGTTAGCATGATATCATGTCGACAACGTGGTAAATGAATGAATTAAAATCATTAAATTCAAAATAATAAAAAAAATTATAATAAATCAAAATAATATAAATTATACCAAAAGTAAACAATTGACTTTTATATTGTAATTATACTAAAGCGAAAGAAACTGAAATAAATGCCAAAAGAGAGTAAAATATTATTTGGAAAATATTTAATTGATTTTAAGAAAAGTAACAAAGGCATTTTTCTATTGAAAGCTGTAGAAAAGGATATGATTATTTTTCCAGGGCTGTCAATAAAAAAATTGACAGTTAATCTCATGATTTCCGACCAGTCAGCACAAAGTAGACATACAGTAAAATAATTGTTAAACTTTATATGGAAATTTTCCATGGACCACCAACGCTCCCTTTGGATTTTTTATGGCCTTTTGTACCTTTAACAATAGGACAGTAACGAGAAAACAGGAAAATACAGGAAGAAAGCAAAGGGAATGGGACAGGGACATGAGGCAAGCCAGACTGAAACCTGCGTCCCACAGTGCCACAGCCTTCTTGACATTTCACAAAACAAGTAAATGTTTGGAATGTACAAAGACAAAAGGACAAGGTCAAGCAACCATTTCAGACTGAAGAAAATGCTTTTCACATGTGTTTAAAAAATTGTGGTGACGAGCGATGTTTCCAGAGGGAGGAAAAAGGACACTGCGTTGAAGGCCAAGCATAAGGCTACGCATCTGAGACCAAACAGAGAAGGAAGAAGAGAGAGAGAGAGAGAGAGAGAGAGAGAGAGAGAGAGAGAGAGAGAGAGAGAGAGAGAGCACTAATATTTCCTGCCTGGCTCCCTGCACACCTGGGGTTGCGGAATGTTCCAGGATAAGCTGAAAGGCCATTTACAATAATCAGTTTCTTCACGCACAGGAATCAGAGATGGCGACAAATTAATAGAGCTTTGGAGAATTGATTTCCATGGGAATTGAACACTTTGCCAACCCCCACCCCCAGTAAATAACTCCCCCATATTACTGCCTGATATATTAAATAGACAAAATGTCATATTTATCGTTGCAAAATGTATTGAGCACATTCAGTTGTTCTATAACCTTATATGACATCTTCGCTATTTCCAGCAGTTTCTCAAGCTCTTGTTAAACTTTATAGTCAACATTTGTGTAAAGCCGATTGATAAAGGTTATAGCCTAGGCTATACATCCTTCGAAATGTCAATAAATAAAACACAAACTCGTGCTTACCTGTGAAATGTTTTGATCTCCGGAGGATCTTCTAAATTGTAAATCACTTCATCTAAAGTACAGGATCCTCACCTGTGCCGCTCAAACGGAGCTAGTGGAAATGACAACTTTGCGAACTGACAAGTACAAGTCAGACACAACTGTGGTTAATGATTAATGCAGCATATCCAATAAATGGATAAGAGAGGGCGGGGAGGATCAATGCAAAACAATGAAAAGTTACTATACTATTACCATAAACTTGTGTATTGTTTAGGCCTATCCAGGTGGTCAGTTGAACATGACGTAGGTGTTTTGTGTAATATTCTTTGAGAACGTCCCTGAATTGTACGTGTCTATGGTGTTCACATGATAATATAACGTGTTGTGTAGCTGTAAACACAAGCAGTCACATTTGCGTAAAAGGTAGGTATGCATTATTTTTTAATATCATATTTCAAATGATCAATAAAGCCTGACAACAATCGCATCATATTTTTCTTTTAGTTTCTTCATCTTAAATCACGTAGGCTATTTTTTTTCCACGCTGCTCCAGCTAATACGCATGCGTTTTGGAGTAAACATCAAAAAGCAGATTATTTTTTCTATTACTGTTTTCAGATTTGAAAAGAATACGTTTGTAATTATGTTGAAATATATTGAACGCCATAATATTATGTTAAGTTGCGCCATTATTTTGCTCAACCACTATCGGGTGAGTTTTACATGTCAAAGTCTCTTTCCTGATTGGCCAAGGCAATAAGACTTTAGGCTATCTGAAGTTAAATATAAGGTGATCAGAGCCATTCAGATAAAACAATGATTGCTTAGAGAATCAAGAAATAGAAGGATTGAATCAAGTAATAAAAGTTTAAATTGCTTTACTGATACACACAATGTTGTAGGAACATGCCAGTATAATTACACTAAAACCTCATTCCTTTAATCTGGATTATGGAAATTTCCAACTCAATGTAATTAAAGTTTAGCACCTAAAAAAAAAAAAAAATTTATTTACAATGATGCACACTTACATTATAGGAACAACAATATTAAAAAGTATTTTACCTCACAGATTATCAGACACTTTTGTTTGTATAAATCTTGATTGACAAATACATGTGCTATTTCTACAATAATATCGGAAACAATGAATTTGTGTCACACTGCATCCATGCCATAAAGTGTCAGTATAAAGCAATAAAGACCATCCTGAGCTGTGGCATGAAAGACAGCATTCATTGCATGCTTTAAAAGCCTTCCAAAATAATGTTACTGGTAAAGCAGCTAAAAAAAAAAAAGACATACTTGTGGAATCTGAGCAAGTTATATCTGGCTAAATTCAACATGACGATAAAGTAATACATGCAGTCTTTTCTACGCAATGTATCTTTTATGAAAAAAGATTTGACACTGAAATATAATAATTACGAGGAACAAAGTTAATACACTCATGACACGGCATTGCATTATCTATCTGCAAAATTGTTACTACTTACTATATTACATGTTGTTTAAGTTGCTGTGTAAATGTACAGGACATTTTAGACTGGAATATGATGCATTTTTTCCTCCGTTTATATGCATTTTGAGTCTATTCTGACCACATAAAAAACCATGAAACCACAAATGTGACCCTGGAGCACAAAACCAGTCATAAGTAGCACAGGTATATTTGTAGCAATAGCCAACATTAC